GGCTTGGCATCCTTTCCTGAGCCTAGACTGAGGATAGTAGCATTAAGAAGCTCGGTGCGAGCGCGCGTGGCATCGTGCGTCGGATCTTGCTGTCCCACAAGCCACTTGAGACAAGCGATGAGCTCTTCTTCGTTAAGCGGATGCTGGCGAAGTTGAGCCAGAACATCCGAGAATGTGATATTCGTGATCAGTCCTTTGCTTTGTAGAGTTCTGATGGCAAGAGAAGCAGACGACAGAACAGGAGCGGGAAGGACAGGCAGGTGTTTAAGGAACAGCGAAAACATCGGATCGGGAGCGCGTACATCAGAGGCATCACGCACACCCGTTGTCGAAAGGACTTTGAGGGGTAAAGTGGAGCAACCAAAGAAGGCTGCCTCGAGGAATCGTGCAACATCGGAAGAAGGCGTTGAGACATGGAAAGTGAAAAATTTGAGGACGTGCAAGAACCGATCGCGCAGCCAGTCGCGGAGTTGTGGATCCGGATGAAAATCGTTCGTGATGGTTGAATTTGAGGCTTCGTTCCAGAGCATCCGAATATTTTCGAGCTCCATCTCGTATGCCGCTCGACACAGATAGCCGCCAACGTACAACAGCTCCCTGTTCCATACTATATCACTATCAGTTATCGACTCAGCGGCGAACATGCAGATCTCACTTGCGACGTTACGGTCGCTGGAAATATGGTCAGATGCGTACATGGAGTAGTGCAAATTAACTCACACTAGATCTATTGATTCGCGTTCAACCGTTGGAATAAACCTAGATGCCATATGACCGCCGATACCTGTTGTCTGTCCAGTTGCGTGCCCCTGCGTTCCTTAGCCAACTTGAATTACTTCCTTGAGATCGCTCTTACGATAAACACATGTGCTTGACCAGCACTATACATGTATGAGTTACAACCACAGCCTCGTTCCCAAAAACAAGGTACTGACCCACTCAAATCAGCTCTAAGACCCTGGAAAACACTTCCAGAAGATACGGGCTGGCTCTTCTCCTCATCTAGACTCACATTGTACTCGTCTTTTCCTGTCTGTAAAGGAATCAGTCGCAAGCCAAAATCAAGGTCGTGGATCAAAGACCCACATAAATCAGGCTGTAATTCAAGTGATTGGGTGGGTTTTTCTTTGTAGATCGGTGTAGTTCGCTCTGAAGTTTCTTATCCAGCTTCACGTCTACGTCCGCATTGAACATGGTAAGTGTGACGCTTGAGGTGTATACCCCCGTGGGGTCTTTGTTAACTTGGGGTTGCGGTAGAGGCTTTGCGAGTACAGGCTGGTGGTGTGACGTAAAAGTGCTGAGAAGAGACGAGAAAAAACCGCCTTGAGAGACTTTGGGTGGTTCTTCGACTGTAAGGATGAGAGGCTTCTCAGTGCCAAGAGCATATACAGCATGCATAACCTGTGCCTGGATACGAGTAGCTAGAATAGTGCATCAGCCATACAGACGACCAGTAGCAAGGGGAAGTGCTCGCCAGCAGACTGCACACTCTTCACACTCATCAAACCTGAACCGCTAGACTTTTTCAGCACTTTGGGTAATTCAAGCTCCCTTGGAACACCCGGAGACTTGGTGAGATGGGCCAGGCGATGAGAGTCAATAAAGACGCTAACTGAGCGAAGGTGGACCATGAATGTGATGCTGCTTGCAAGGAATCGCGTTAGATCGAAAGGTTGTGGAACAGGTCCCTGTTCACGGAGCGTCATCTCAAAAGTTGTCCACGGATTAGGTTGGAGAGCATCTTTAGATGGAAGATCACCACGCCGTACGAGAAGCTTCAAGAGGTCAGTTGATATCAAGTGTCAATCGACATGCATACTTGGTCTCCAGTTTTGTCCTTCCAGTAGAATTGCATTCCGTGACCTTGATTCCGTTAGAAAGATAAAACAATACCCAGAGGCATTCCTACCTCCTGAAATGACGAATGGTTCTTCAGTCACAGAAAACAGACTATAAAAACCTGCAAGAATGGTAAGAAATGAATTCATCAATGGTGTGGAGGAGCATACCGACACCGAAGGCGCCAATCTTCTCCTCGTCTGGATTTCCCTCAGCTATACAAAGTGAGTATATTATTTCTATTATTCAAGCTTCAGGTGCACTACACACCAATTTTCCTAAGCCGATTCCAGTCCTCGTCGCGAAACACAATTCCGTTATTCCGAAAGGTCCACTGCGAAACCTACAATGATCGATCAACAAACACAGAAATTGAAGTAACGTTGATATGGTACAGACTGGAGCGCCTTTGAGGTCCGGGAAACCCATACCGCCCTCCGGCTGCATCGCATCCTTGCTGTTCTTTCGTCGGAGATACTCCTCTGTCTCAAAATATATTTCAACCGCGGAAGACTGTGCATCATCGGAGTTCTGAAGAAGTTCACGGAATACTACATGTTCGTCAGGGCTGCGGGATCAAAGAAGAAACCAGCAGGTATAGTGCACCTGTGAATTCGCCCGAATATCGTGCCAACACCTTGTCGATCAATGCACGCTGATTAACTTCTACTGTCTCATCATAACCACTCGCCCACTGCCTTGGTCGGACATCAGCATCTCATAAGGAATGAAGCAGGCTTACAAGGGCGTCTCGATCATGAGCCATAGATTGGTTTCAATGCCACGCGCCTTCCCCGTGTGTAACGTGTTGCTGGCGGGTAGCTGAATGGAATTGGGCTGGCGTCTTACACCTTTGCAGGTGTTCGATGACCGTAAGGAAGGGAGTCGTTGAGTCTAATCAAGCAAACGGAGAAGTTTATGCACGGAGCCTTTAAGCGCTAAGCTCTAAGTACAGTACTACTAGTAGTACTTTAATTACTTGAGATTAGTAATTATTAATATTTTGGCCTAAACATTAATGGCACCAGAGACTAGTCACTAGTCATAGTAGAAATTCATAGAAGGAACAACAATCCGCCTACAGTCACATGGTCTGTCCGACAGCGCTCCGTGAAAACGCAAGTAAATGCGGCCTGGAAGACTCGCAAATTGCCATGGCATACCGCGTGTTCACTCTGAATCTTGATTCTTTGGCGATTCCGGGAATTCAAGTATAGATTTCATGGCCCAAGTTGGGTGTAAGCACGCCAGTAGCACGTATGATGGGCCTGACAAGTTAACGATTCCTGCTCTCATATATCATCATGATGTAAGGACTCGGAGAAGAAAACTCATTTCAAATGACTAAACTTACATATCAGATCGCAATTACGTATGTACATACTGCATGCTGTCGAGTTCGGTTAAAATGCGGTCGGAAAGATGTGGTCAAGAAAGTTGATCAGAGTAAACTTTGAATCGTTGCTATAACAAACTAAGGTGTCGTAGGGTGTCATGAAAGGCATCAAAATTGCGAGACAATTGATGGCATAGAGACGAATATTTTTTCGGGATATGATGGATGCGATGCAGTGTTCCTTCCATGTAATAGATTCCTTCACAAAAATGCCGAAGTGCCAGGGAGCACACCAGCACCCTACGCCCTGCAAGGGCAGTCATAAATTGGAACCTCGTGGCAAGTCAGGGTCGGCGGGCATGTAAATAGAATTCCAACCTGCACTGAAATTATTTGTTCCCTGCGAGCGCAACAGCAAACCATCCGAAAATAGCCATTAAAAAGCGCACCATCCACGCTGGGTCAGCGCCAACGCCGCGACCTGGCCTGAGCTGCATCGCCAGAGCAATGTCAAACTCAGGCACAGCACGGTATGCGCGACTGCGAGGATGGATAAGGGGTGACGAAGGAGGTGCAGGAGTAGAACTAGCGACCCGCACGGACCAGGAAGGACGTGCAGGTAGTTCGCGAGCTTCAGAATTTATTGCTGGGTGTACACATGCTTGTGGAAGTGTGGGTCGATCATCTGGGGTAGGGTCGAGTGCCGTTGGGATGGGTGGTGAAGAAAGATCCCGCAAAGGTGAATCAGGTGACGGATCTTGCACACCGAGAGACGGCAGAATGTCCAAAGCATCGTGAAACTTCTCGTCCTCTGAGTCTTCTTGTGAGTCATCGGAGGTAGTGATGGAGACATAGGACAACAGTGCAGACGCGCGAGAACTGAAATACGGGGGTTCCTCGGACTTCTCATTCAGTATACCCTGCGTTACCGCTATAACTGTTCCAGTGTTTGAATTTCTCCTGCAGGAGGATAACACTGTATAATTCTCAGCATGGAGTAGACTTTGCCAAGCCTTGTAAGACCAAAGAATTTGGGTATGTAAGTCTTTGATGGCATACAATCTCAGGCCTACACAGGCCAGTGCAAGCAGCGCAATAGTGCATGAGAAGACGAGGAAGAGGGTAAAAACAGAAGTCGAGAAATCTGCTTTCCCATAGTCAATGACGACTGGGAGGTTGTGCGTAGTTGGCACTTCATCTCCTGAGCTGATCACAGTCATGATTCGTTGACCAAAAGGCACGAGACCTTCTGTGTTGGTCGACCCGTGTACTGCATCAGGTAAAAGGTAGCCATCATCTGCAGCAGCGGATGGGGGCCCGACAACCATTCCAGCGTCGCGATAAAAGTCACTATAGCAGCCCGCATCAGAAAAGTGTTCAGAAAATAAATGCCAGCTTGACTTACTCTGGATGTGATGAACGCAAACGAAAAACCACTTGCATAGAATCTTGTATTTCTGCTGACATCCTACGACAGTCACTTACTGGTGCTCATCAGAGCACATGGATAAACTTACCGTGACTGCTTAGAGTCCGGCAAAATTGGAAGACTCGAAACGGCCAGCGCGAGCAGAGGGACAGAAATAAGTGTAGTAAACATCATGTCAACACCAACAATGACAGAACGTTTGCTATCCAGTTCTGGCGGCGGTTACGCAAAGGAAGCGGAGGAACAAGACCCACCTCGTTTCTACCTCGCCTCGCGATCCCGAAAACACGATGCAAAGTCGGAATAGGTCGGCATGCGGCCGGCTGCCGACACGCAAGTCGCGTCTCCATTTAGTTGTTGTCACGTGCAGTTATAATTCCCTTCAATGAGTTGGTGCACACTGTCACCACCCAGAGCTAACTCAGGGCCAACTCAAGTCCGAGTACCCGTTATATTAAATATTGAATGGCACCAACTTCAAGAAACCAGCGCCAACAGTCAAGAGCATCCTTTCATCCATCCAATGATCCTGCAACTTACCGTGATCTACTACTCTTTGAAGAGCGCCTCAAAACCAATGCCGCTCAGCTCCAACGCAGAAAGTCCAGGTATCAGCGTATGTTTTCACAATATCTATATTGCTTAAACGCTTATGTTTATTCCTAGTGTTCCTATTTCATCTTCTGATAGCTATTGCATTCCTTCTTTCCGAAGTCCTTCTTCAGACGTCCTTTCTAGACATACCCTACACGAACCTCCTCCGCAAAGTACTTCCGGATGTGTACGGGGGTGTTGAGAGCTCAAAGCCCCACCCGTACTTTGCATCGGGGCTCCTCTTCGTACTTGTAACTGCCCTCCTTCTCTTCTTTGCCAGCGGCATGTATGCTGAGAAAATTGCATATGCAAATAGGTCAGCTTTCATACAATGTATTCACCGCTCAGAGATTTAGCGACGGTGCTGCAGATATGTTCCTCATGCGAATAAAGCTCTTCGAAATTTTAACATGTACCTGAATGTCCGACGTCCCCCCCTTCGCTCAGCATTCTCTATCAGCCCCTTTCCTTTTATTTTCCATCGACCTACCCAGTCACGAGGACCGTCCCCAACACCGCGCCCATCCAATGCACCAGCTCCCATGGCTCCTATACCACCAGCAAACAATCCACGTGGTGAACTCATTTTTTCGTCACGCGTTGACCGGGGCTTTAGGGAGAGCTACGAGAGATATCGAGCTGCATTTGAAAGGAAGCGAGATCGAAGAGAGAGGGATGAAAGAGACAAGACGTGGACAGGACGAATTGCGAACAAGATGCCGTGGAATCAACCGCCGGATGCGCCGTCTGCTTTAGTCGCACTTTCACGGACCGCGTCTGGTCGCGGGCGGGGGAGCGCTGTCGGCACTCCATTAGGGTCCAGGAGATCAAGTCCTATGCCTAGGCCAGGGACAAGAGATTCTCCTGCTGTGAGGACTATTGATTAATATTGATTAAGCAGATCTAATCAATATTGTCATTCACATTCGTCTGAAAAATAATGTCCATTCATACTTTTGTGAGGTGTGTGTTCCCCAAGTCGACTAGGTAGCAGAGAAGTTGTCGGTGCCTAGTGAATTTGTAACAATATTGAAGATGAACGGTTCCGTACACAGAGATTGCCCTTCTACTCGAAATTCGATTGCATAAGGAGCTCCCAAATGCAGTGGCCGCTAGTCAACTACGAGTCGCGGTCCCGCGAAACCCCGTTGAATTCTAGCACGACATTCAAAGGTAACAGTACCACGTGTTTATCTCAAATATTAATGAACACCGTACAGCAGTGCGTTCTCAGATGTGGCGGACTTGAAAGCACCCCGTGTTATGTAGGTTTGGGAAGGCGAAACATGTACGATACGCGATTTTCAAAGTAGTATGTACTTACATCCACACCAGATATAACTTACATAATTAATTTCATTGCCTGCAATGCTGCCGCGGGCCAACTGATGTGGTAGTAATGTCGGTAATCGTGTTTCTCTCAACATAGGCCCATCATGCATCATGATGGAAACCATGTGAGTGCACAGTGGGTAAGTACTTATGGGTCCCAGATATCCTCATACGTTCAGTCTGTTTATAGTTTGCCAAGACTTACTTAGAGCTCTGCTTGTACATTCAAGTTCTCTTATTCATGAACTTCGTTCATTACTGAGTTCGAAATTCCACGATGATTCTCGGTTGAGTCGGAGTGCATTACATGCACTTCAGGGATATGTCATGGGAAGCACTGGCAATGGCGTGGTGGCGCTACATGCGGTTAGGCTACGGAATTTCCAAAGACTCCATCTCCGTCGTGTCCGACTGATGGATGATAACATGACTCGGACGAAGGCTCTTATCCGGATCTGAGGTGGGTAAGGGTTACTCAGGTAAACGCAGTACTTACCATGAGAAGCCCGTGTTGCAATTACAAGTGTTTCAGTTACATGACGGAGAAAACTGCCTATCAAGTAGTTAGCATGAATGGGAAAGCTTCTGAAGATACATCACTTGCGGTGTTGTTGCGCCTCGATGGCCCAATGGAAGAAGTACTCATTAACTTAAACAGCAAGCGTCGCGGGAGGCAAGTGCCTTGAAGTGCGGCACTTACGTTGCGTATATTATTCATTAGATGCCCCATTTTTGCGCTGTCAAACATGCAGATTCAACACGTCATCCAACATCTGGGGTAGCATGCAGGCGAACTATCAAATCAACGTCATACGCACGCGGGGTCGTGGTGATTCGTGACGCCTCCCGCGATGGGTTCTGCATTACCTTTTCAACATGTATTATGTAAGACACGATTGATGCGCAGATTGGCAGTTCGCTTTCAGAGTGCATCTCTGTGCTAAATATTAAATAGCTATGCCTCACAGTCATCACTCTCACTCCGGACAGTTCTGCAGGCATGCTTTCGGATCCTTAGAAGAAGTCGTATTGGAAGCCATCAAACAACGTTTCGAGGTGTATGGTTTGACAGAACATGTACCCCGCTACAGGCCAGAGGATCTGTATCCAGAGGAGGTAGTTTCTCCTCCTTGAACCAGGTTTTACATCTAAATATATCTGTTAGAGGGAACTGTCTCTTGATGGCCTGTCGAAGCAGTTCCTGAGTTTTCTTAACGAAGCTCATCGATTGAAGGAGGTTTACGCCTCCCAGATCACCTTATTGGTTGGACTCGAGACAGAGTACATTACCGATGATGACCTCAGTCATCTTCAAAAGCTCCTGAAGGATAATGAGAGGCGCATCGATTATATCGTTGGATCCGTCCATCATGTCAGCACTATTCCCATCGACTTTGATCGTGTCACATATGAAAAGGCTTTGGCCAACTTTTCGAATGAAGAGGGCGTTTATATTCTCGGAAACGATCAAATGGAACGCTTTCTATCTGCATACTTCGATGCACAGCATCAATTGATACGGCAGTTTCAGCCAGAGATCATTGGCCATCTCGATTTGTGCAGGCTCTACACCCCTTCCCTCGATCTCAAGCAGTACCCCATCGCCTGGGGCAAGCTAATCAGGAACATCGAGGAAGCTACGCGGTACGGCGCACTTTTTGAAATCAATGCTGCCGCGTTCAAGAAGGAGGGGTGGACTTCGCCATACCCTGGGAAAGATGTAGTAGGGGTCAGTAACAAACGTCATGCTGTGTCAATCGTTACCTCCTTACTGTGCCTAGCTTATTCAGGAGAAAACTGGTCGGTTTGCTTTGTCTGATGACAGTCACGGACCGCGGACTGTCGGACAGTATTATTTGGATGTGGCGGACTATCTGGTTCATGTAGGAATTACTGAACTTTGGTATTTGGACTGTTCATCAAAGCCAAATCACAATGGGAGGTACATATCTCCCAGGCGAATTGAAGGCGATTGGCGGCTCCATACTTTCTGGAAACATAGGGAAGGTGAAAGGCGCAAAATCGTCTCTTAATAAATACGAGATGTTTTTGGCGATGGAAGTACGTTTTGCGGCGGCTTGAAGTACTTCGATATTATCTTTGATGTCTTCTGCCCCAAGATGCACTCCAGCCAAAGCCAGCGATTTGTCATTTTCTGATTGACTATGCTTTGTTTTATGGGTGCTGCTACGTTTCTGTCTGGCATTAAATCATCATCCGTAACGCGCATTCCAGACTGCAGGTCGCTTGACAGAACATGCCTGAATGGGAGGACAATGCTTTTGAATCCTATTACGGAGTGCGGTGTTTTGCTGTGAGGAAGCGATCAGTCTTGTCCTCCGGTGCCAATTAATTCGCTTGTACCTTCAAATCAGGTGCAAATCAGGCGCGGTGAGCTCGCATACGTAAAAAGTTTGCATCATGGACAAACACTTAACACGATTTAGGATGGCGCACGACCACGAGCATTTCCACGGTGCCATATTTGACAGCTGGAGAGCTCATCGCAGAAGCATTCAAACTTATGCCGGTTACCTTTCACTGCTACTGACTTAACGCCCAAGTACTCTGAATCAAGATCTCGATTTTTCCCTTGAACCCGCGATCCTCATTGCGTGTGTCATCAGTTCAATCTCAGATGTGGGTCAGCCATGCTGCTCAAGATAAGATTCATATGTCTTCCCATCATGTGCTTGCCTTTGACGTGCTTCTCCATGCAAGGTGCTCGGCGTGTCAAAGTTTAATGCCCCAACTTCGCAATCCCTACCCCGCATTGGCTTTGACATCACTTAACCCCGCAGTTGTCACTCTAGCCTCTCAGGAGAATAATTTTTTCTGGTGGTCTCTTATTGCATGTGCATGATGGGGGACATGCAGTGGCAGTATTTAAAGAGTCGTGAACAGAGTGTCTTCAGCTTAACGATCCCACCCTTCCACTAGAAATCTCATGTGAGGGAGATTCAGGCGCTTTCTCCTCGCACGACTGACTTATGTTACAGTAAACATGTGTCACCGTCAGGTTCAGTGCGCCAGACACGGTTGTGGCCACGAAGAGCCCATCGGGGACGCGAAGGTTAGCCCCAATGCAGTGATACTGCATTTGCACTTTGAAGTCACTGACAAAAACTGAAAGGTGGATTGTCAATCCTCTCAATGTCGATACAGCGCTGCACATCCACGAGGCTGTCCAATTTGCTCTAGCACATGTACTCAATGGTTTGTTGCACCACAATATGTAGAGAACTAATGACTGACTGTAATTTTGTCTCACACCAGCATGGGTAGAGCCCAAACTATTGTCGTCCGAAATGGAAATCCGATGTGTTCCCATTGTGCTAGACAGAACGCATAAAAGATCGGACCTGCTGTGCTGTCACAGCTACCAAATGGGCCTTGACCCCGCCATGCATGCCGATCACAGCTTGCTGTCCAATCACTTTGTACTCGCAGTCCGATCTTGGATTGATATTCGCAACTACCATTATTGTTGATTGAGTTATAAGCATTAGGCCCATCCACTTAGGTCAAGGGCATTTCTCGTACTTGTACTTACTTATACTTAGTCTTCCAGTTACTGAGGACCAGCCAGCCGTGTGGTCATCAATACTCAAATTGAGATGTCTTCTTTCACTTCCCGAATTATCTACCCACGAGGATACCGAGTCGTAGAGCAGTGTATAATACCAGCTTCGTGAGAACCTGAATCGGCATGCAATCTGACAGAGTTACGCCTTCGCCGGCTGTTGATTGAACATTGTCACCTCTTAAGGCGCAAATTTGGGATCGATCACTGAGTGCATAGGCGGCCCGCCTATAGTCCCCTAGAAAGGCTTTATACGTATAGAAGGACAATAGAAGGAAGCCAGTCATTCATTCTTGATCAAATTGTACACGAAGGGCTTAAGTACTGAAGTACTAGTAGCTTCGGATCATAGCAAAAGGATGTGGCTGCCAGGCGGTGTTATATGTTGTGTAGCTTCGGACTTTCCATAAGTATGTGTATGGCCCGGTTCCAATAAGGAACTTTAATCACTAGAAGGTTAATCCAAACCATGAACCTAGTAGCCGCATTTTCTGGTCCATCTCAGGCAGCATATCTTCGCACCCTTCCTGCCATTAGAGAACGATGCTCAAATGTACATGCCATGGCGCAACAGGGAAAGCTGGAGTATTTTGATTATAGCCCAGATCGTGAATCGTCCGTTGTGAATTACTGCCTCGAAATCATGAAGGTTCCACCTCGAGTTGACTCTCAGGCGTTACTCATGGCTGACACATATTTTAGAGAGACTTTCCCGCAGCTGATGGCGGTGTTGACTTTGCGTCTGTGAGGATTTATATTTCTAATCGGACAGCCAGTGTTAGAATCACATCCATAGATCCCACCGCATGGAAGATGGAGGCATCTAGATGCAGGAAAATCACGCATAGCGCCTTTGATGACGAAATGGGATGAAGAACAAGGGTCGCCAGTCAGCGAGAAAGAGAAATGCAAGAGGTTGATTGATTTGTTCCTTGTTTCTGTCCTACTGGATGCTGGAGCTGGCAACCAATGGGTGTACAACGAGTCAGACGGGGAAAGCTACAGTCGGTCGGAAGGGCTTGCAGTTGCAACTGTACATATGTTTGACCAAGGTCTTTTTTCGGGATCTCCTGTAGCTCAGCCTCATCGCGTCGATGGTAAGGGGAACATCCTCTGTGTCTAGGTTCTCATCTGATTTTCTTACCTAAAGCGCAGGGATTGTCTCAGATTAATGAATCGAGAATCGCCTCTGCTATGCAAGTCAGTGATACCAATCCGATGGTTGGTTTGTCGGGCCGAACTTCCCTCTTGGTCAATCTCAAAACCGCGTTGGAGTCTAATCCCCGCTTCTTCGGTTCTGACGCTAGACCCGGAAATATCATTGGTATTGATCGTTGTCCACTGTTTGATTAAGTGGTTGATCACTTCTGATGTTCACAGACTTCCTGGAATCCGAATCGAAGCTTGATGGTTCGTCCCTGCGTGTCCATATCTCATCACTGTGGGGAGTTTTGCTCGAGGGCTTAGCTCCGATTTGGCCTGCAAGGTATTCTATCGGCGGAGTGCAACTCGGAGATGTGTGGCCGTGTTCTGCGCTCGCCACGGATGGGCAAGCCGAGGGAGACAACTTCGTACCGTTCCACAAACTAACGGGATGGATCACATATAGCCTGATTGAGCCCATGGAGAAGATTCTCAAGTGGAGATTTGACGGTATCGAGGACATGACTGGTCTTCCAGAGTATAGAAACGGTGCATATGATGTACCTTAGTGTGACACTGCTGTTGACGTTTGATCTAGGAGGTTTGCTGGTCGACTTTGGTGTTCTTACTCTCAAACCCGGTCTTAAAGCGCTCGCAAACACTGGCGGTGTTCCATGTCTTCCACCATCACATGGTGCTGTAGTTGAATGGCGAGCAATGACGGTGATTGAACTGTGAGTCATCAGTGAAACTGTCTTAAGATTATACTGAAATTCTTGGGCAGCGATCGCATCGCCGACGGCATCCGTCGTCAAGTTGGTGTGAACTCCTACGATCTGACCCTTGCCCAAGTACTAGAAAGCGCAACATGGAAAGGAGGGAGAGAAATTGCCAAGCGACTCCGCCCTTTAACCGGAGGACCGCCCATCGAGATAGAAAGTGACGGAACTGTTTTTTGAGGTTGTAACAAACATTCTTCCGGAAGGTATCAAAGCATGTATGTATAACTGTAGTTCAACATTGGAAGTACCCTGGTGACCAGGAAAGTGATCAAAATTCATGTACGTTTCAATTCCCTAGCTAGGCGCCAACACAAGACGAAAGCTACGGCCGCGGCCACGCCTCCCAACCTGATTTAGTTTTGTGATCAGCTGCTTCACTAGCATGTATGACGCCATTGAGCACCCACCGAAAGATTATTGCAATTGAATTGGGACCTGTATTTACAGAGGGATCTTCGTCTCGATCTAAAATTTGTCGCATCACATCTCCTGACGTAGTGATCGTACCGTCGACAGGTATGGCATTGCCCGGATGATGACTGTGTAAGACGGATTTCTGAGGATCAAATATTGCGAAGATGATTGATGACAGGCCAGTGACGAAAAATTGGGGTACTACGATAAATATATTATGAATGCCCTGGTGACGTTGATTAGATCTGACAGGGACAAGAATCTGAAGCACTGACGAGAATAGCACCGGCCTGTGAGCTCAAGCTGTTGGGATTCTTTTTCAGCCTATGAGGAGGCGGTGCATCATGAGACATTTGAGCCGATGAGACATTTATATCGGTCTGGCTGACTCGTGCTTCGTGGTTTATCATGATCCTCGGATAGCCGTCATCCTCTTCTTGTTCCAGTGACCCAGATCTCGAGTATGTCGGGTCTTCCAGGTCGGAGCCGACGAGATGCTGAGTTTCATCAGCATCTTGCCCATCATCATCTGTCCTAGATCTTAGATTTGAGCGCGTGTCCTCTAGATATATCGAAGTCATTTCTTCATCGGTTGCAGGATGGGACAATATTGCCTCCGCGAGCTGAGAATGTATGGAATCAGGGAACAGTAGGGCAACATTCAGGGTTTGAATGATGACGTACCAGCGTAAATGGGGCCCACTGTACTATGGCGAAACAAAATCCGGTCACTGACATGATGAAAGTAGCACCGCCAACGCTTGATACAACCCTTCACAGGTCAAATCGTCATCAAAATCATCACTTGCTTTGACGTGTAGGGACTTACAATGTGGCAGCCATGCATAATGAGAATACGAAGAGAGAGAATGCCCATAGTGTAGCCAGGTGAACCTGAACACGTTCCAACCACGGCTTCCTCGGTTGAAGAGGAGTCAATACAGCGACTTCTTTAGCACGGACGACGAAGAAAGGCATAATGATGTTTGCCGCGAGAGACACCAGCGCGCTGTAGAATAGTGCGCGCGCGCCAAGACGTGTAGCCTCCTCGTCTAATATGACAGCTGAGAGATCGTCTTCTGGGGGAGGGGAAACCTGTTTGTGCAGTTCGCCGATATACACAGTGGTATAGAATAAAACAGGGAACCATGCTAGCGATGAACTACCAGATCATGGCTGTCAGATAAATGAAGCGTTATTCGAGACAAACGCACAAAAATTGGATATAACACTGTAAAGTAGGTCAATAGACATGGACCAATAAAAATATATGCTGCATACGATCTGTCTTATCACTCGGGGTAATCTTGTTAGAGTATTCCATAGATTGTATATTTCATTCTTTAGGCCCTTGGCGCGGGAGCTATGGCCGAGTGAGACAAAAACTAAGTAAATAGAGATGACGCACTCGGTTGCAACAAGTATCCTCTCTTTGACGCAAACGGAGGTCAACAAATGTGTGAACATGAGTAACAGAGACGCGATGACTACTAGATCTTGTAGTTGAGCTCGGCCAAGGAAAGGTAACCATTGAGGAAGGTCTATTTCTCCCCTATGACAAGATATGAGTGTTCATAGCCATTAATCTGCCTAATCTAAGCTCACACAAAGAATCCAACTACACTGCCAATGGCCAGCATTCGAGCGGCCCATGCATTACCACTGGGCTGATCTGATGGGGGTAGGGTGTCAACCAAAAGAGCGCGATCCAGAGCCCCCACTGCGAATAGATTCTGAGTTTCATCACATGCAATACTCGGGGTTTGTGAAGACAAACCTGCGTTGATGGAAAAATCTATGCAATATATCGATAGGACAGCAAGCCATATGGCAAGTGAATCATGCTGACAAATTCAGTATGGTCTGTCAGTTGTGTTGAAGAGTGCACGCACTGAGGGCGATCCTGGCGTTGTAAACAAACCAGCAAGTGGACGGGCGTATCCGAACAGAAGGGTCGCAACACAACACAATGCTGCACTAACACCGATTAAAGGTCGCCGTCTACCAAAGCGTGACTTTGAATTATCTGCTAGCACGCCTGAAGTCATGTTGAGTGGACTGAAAAGTAGGAAGTACAGGATAGGTACCTATCAAGGGCTGAACAATGAGGCCAGAGAGGGGCCCAGCAAGGAAGACGACTGCCATTAGTTGTTTTGACAGACCGAGGGACAACAGGTAGGGGGAAGCTTGCAGCGCGCAGTAGCATTAAATAACCATCTAGTGAGGTGTAGGCTAACCATTTACCATATGACATCTCAACCGACCACAAGACCTGCACTCCCAAAAGCCCGACGGTAAGAGCAGGGAGACGTGTCAACGGGGGTCCCAAAATCCTGGCTCTTCCTATCCACCGGGATTCATCATTGAGGGAATCTTCAGCGAAGGATAAAGCAGAAAACCCGGTCATTCTTGCCGAGTGTGCCTAGCCAGTAAACTGTCTGCAGGATTTCGATTAGCTTGTAAATAGTACTTGGAAGTCCAACTATGGTTTTCAACTTATAGCCACCGAGCACTGCCAGCTGGGATTGCCTTTTCGAGATCGAAGACTTCAAATTGTTGCCATCACTAGTGGTCACCGCAGGACATCAATTTGCAGGAGTTAATCTATAGTGCTGAATGCTGACCCGCACACTCCTTCGTTCAAGGATACCTAATCTCAATCGCCTTCTCCATTCATCCTCCCGTATCAGCAGGCAGTTGTTTGACCCATCTACTGTTGAACGTGTCTCGGAGGATGTGGACGTTTGCATCGTCGGAGCTGGCCCTGCTGGTCTTAGTACTGCGATTCGACTAAAGCAGTTGGAACAGAAATTAGGAAAAGAATTAAGGGTCGTTGTACTGGAAAAGGGTGCTGAAGTAGGTGCGTACTCCAAACAGTGAATCTTTCCTGTGTAAATGCAACTCGCCCCAGGCTCCCATACACTCTCCGGAGCTGTCATCGAGCCTCGAGCCCTCGACGAACTCTTGCCAGATTGGGCCCTCCGCGATGATCACCCACTCACGCAGTCAGCAACGTCCTCTCACATGCGGTTCCTCACAAAGTCGCTCTCGATACCTATACCCCATCCCCCTCAAATGGCCAACCAAGGAAATTACATCGTTTCGCTCTCTCGTTTCACTGCGTGGCTCGGGAACATCGCGGAAGAAATGGGTGTCGAGGTTTACCCTGGGTTCGCCGGCGCCGGCGTGGTTTACACAGATGATGGGAGCGTTGCTGGTGTCAGGACGAATGAAGTGGGTCTGGACAGACTAGGGTGCATGAAGGAGTCCTTTGAGCCTGGAATGGAGTTTCGTGCAAAGGTCACCCTTATCGCGGAAGGCGCGCACGGCTCCATCGCCAAGGAACTCATTCAAAAATTTGATCTTCGCCGAAATTCCGATCCACAAACATATGGCATCGGCCTCAAAGAAGTTTGGCGCGTGGATCCAACCCAATATCGACCTGGTGAAGTTGTTCATACCATGGGCTGGCCCCTTGACTTCAGGACATACGGCGGTGGGTGGGTTTATCACATGGCTGATGGGCTCGTCAGCCTAGGCCTTGTAATCGGACTCGACTATGCCAACCCATATCTGAGTCCTTATAAAGAATTTCAGGTGTGTTCTTTTTAGTTGTTGCATACGTTCCTCTGATGTCCCATTCAAGCGCATGAAACACCATCCATATTTCGCAGAGCTCCTGTCTGGGAACTCCACAAGGATAGCATATGGTGGACGTTCGCTCAACGAAGGCGGCCTTCAATCTGTGCCTCAGCTTTACTTCCCCGGCGGTGCCCTGGTTGGTTGCTCGGCTGGTTTCGTCAACATCGCAAAAATTAAAGGCACCCACAATGCGATGAAGAGCGGTATGTTGGCTGCCGAAGCAGCTGCAGCTGCTCTATCTCAGGAGTCTAGCAGTGGACCTGCAGATATGTCACCGTATGAAACTGCACTGAAGAATAGTTGGGTTTGGTCAGACCTTAACGAGGTTCGTAACTTACGTGAAAGTTTTCACACCCCCTTGGGTATTTGGGGAGGTATCATGTACTCTGGCGTCGATTCTCTCCTCCTCAAGGGACGCACTCCTTGGACTTTCCGCAATCGAGCAAGATTGACGGATGCACAGCATACTCAACCCGCGTATCGATTCCACCCTATCAACTACCCTCCTCCGCAGCCCCCGTTGTCGACAGATTTGCTGACTTCGTTGACTTTAACCGGCACGAACCATGCAGAAGACCAACCTGTGCATCTCCGTGTACGCCAGGGCGACAATGAGAACACGGCCCTTCGAAAGTCGCACGTACAGCGCAACGTGAGCGAGTATGCTGGGTTATTGCAACGGGCTTGCCCTGCTGGTGTTTATGAATATGTTGAAGATGAGACCGCAGTAGATGGGTGGAATGGACATAAACTAGTGATAAACTCACAGGTGCATCTCACTCTTGAACCATCTACTACGTCTGACATCGATCGTCGCAGAACTGTATCCACTGCAAGTTATGTGATATTAAGGTCCCCACACAGGATATCACATGGACTGTTCCCGAGGGGGGTGGAGGTCCAAAATACAGTGAGTGTCCTTTGCCGACTATTTTCATTGCGATGGCTTATCTTATTCTCATCATTAAGCTATTACCTGACTGTAAAATAGTGCAGAGTAGCTCTACACAACGTATGTCGTCGGGGCGCATCACATATATTGCATGCCGGGGCACGCTCTCCTCTGACGACATAAGTTTTTTCTTCAATCTTCAGATAAAATCTTATCCCACTATATGATGTAGTACAGTAGAATGAATTGATTCATATGACGAGAAACGACGTGCTACGACAGTGTGATATTACTAGTAGTAGGTATCGCGGCAGCGTAAAAGCAGGTGCGGGGCGCGCAGCAGTAGCTTAGGGAACTGCATGAGTAAACCCGCGGGTGTGGGCAGTCGTACCCGCACCCGTACCCGCACTGGCAGTGCGGGTACGGGTTTTACTGCGGGTATCAACACATTGGACCTAGAGTATTACCCCCGACGGGCATACCTATGGGTCACTGTGTGGAAAATAGGAAACAACACGCGCGTGAATCCGTCGACAATAGATGGTGGAAGCTCGGTGCTGAGTGACATGGATGGTGGAGCACGAAAGATGGGGGAACAACTAAGCAGAGAGTCAGAAAGTGATGGCCGTGGCGCCGTCAGCGTCCACTAAGAAGCTCGGAAGACGAGATCACACACCACCTGAGAGCATGACATGGTCAGAGCACTATCAACATCGGGTAAGCAGGTCAAAGGACAAGGACACGCACTTCCTGAGAACGGGACACGACTGCAGCACAATCAGCGTCAGGTAAGCAGGTCAAAAAAATGAGATCACGCACAAGCTGAGAGCAGGACGCGGCCATAGCACCATCAGCGTCGAGTATGCAACGTAGTAAAATATGAGATCACGCACTTGCTGAGAGCGGGATGCAGCCAGAGCACCATCAGCGTGGGGTAAGCAAGTCAAAGGACGAGAACAGAGAGAGTTCCGAATCACCAGTGTGTCATCGTGGTCTTCGAACTTGATGCGTTGCGATTCGTATGCTGCGAGCCGTTCCTGAAGTTGCTGAATTCGAGTTTCGGAGGGAGTGCTGGCACTTGCGCATATACCCACCCTTTGTGCGCATATATCCACCCTATCAAGATATTCTGAGCCTATTAAGCACAAAATATGATACTTACATCATTCTTATGTTGCGGGTAATCTTTTGAATGCTGCAAGAAATCGTTTGAATGATCTAATGAAAGAGACGAAAACAAGATCAGCGTAGGGTAAGCAGGTCAAAAGACGAGAACACGCACATACTGAGAGCAGGACGCAGCCAGAGCACCATCAGCGTGGGGTAAGCAGGTCAAAGGACGAGAGCACGCACTTGTTGAGAGCGGGATGCGGCCAGAGCACCATCAGCGTAAGGTAAGCAGGTCAAAGGACGAGAATACACACAAACTGCGAGCAGGACACGGCCATAGCACCATCAGCGTCGAGTATGCAACGTAGTAAAAGACGAAATCACACACTTGCTGAGAGCGGGACGCAACCAGTGCACCATCAACGTCGGGTAAACAGGCCAAAAGACGAGAACACGCAGTTTTTGAGAGCAGGATGCGGGCAGAACACCATCAGTGTGGGGTAAGCAGGCCGAAAGACGAGAACAGAGAGTCTTCTAATGGCTCACATGGGACTGGCGGGCACCCATGTGCACTTTTAGAACGCATATACCCACCCTTTCGACTTGTGTTAAAAATCAAGTCTGTTTATGAATAATAACAATACCACTTACACCTAGCTATGGCCTCAGTGGGAGACGAAAAATCGGCGGAGAGGTCCTGTAAAAACTGAGATTGCGATGATGAAAAAGAGAGAAGACAACATGATTGTAGTAGTAAGAAGATAAATTGTAGGACTCAGATACAATGATGATATCATGTCACACCGTCACACGTTGCGCGAGAGTGCTATGATGCAATGCAGTGAGCGAAGCTTCGAAAGATCGGAAGAAACGATGCAAAACGAGAATTGTGATGTAACGATCTAACTATGAAGCTTGACGAAAATCGATTTTCACAAAACCAGTGAGAAAGATTCCGAGTTTCTCTTGTTTCAAAATAACAAATCGAACAAAATTAGTTGTCGATTTTCTGATTTCGAAGTCTCTTGTTTACATTTGGCTGCATTGGGAAACGGATGACCGTACACATAAGTCGCTGCGCAGTGGCAGTGCGCACGCATGTACAACTTCAACCAAATATTCAAGTTGTTGGACATGGACGAACCTGAAGTCCTAGAGCAAATTCCACTACCTCTCGAGACCATACGGCAAGGTTATCATGAGCTTGGTCACCACACTCACATGGTTCTTCGAACTCAACTTGGTGATAGCGCAAGGCTTAATGCCTCCAAGCGAGAGTGTTTGCTGTTTATTAGCATAGTACTAGTAGAACAGGTGCCATCACTCTTTGCTATTGCGACGGCTGAGATGCCGATAAATTCAACGAAGCATGCCGATGTGCACTGAGAAGAAGATTAAGCTTTTGTTGCTTTTGCCTGTGAATTCGAGCCCGAGAGCGACCATTATGCACATCATAAATAAGAAATACAAGAACATTGTAGCCAATGATTTGTCAGTCTCGATCCTAGCATTCCGATCAGCATCAGTGGTCATCCGCGCCCGGCCACCCCCATCTAATGAGCCGAGTCGCTCCGTCATGCCACGACCGTACTCTGCGGCTAGCTAGTGTGGACGTAGTAGAACCACGAGTGCCAACGAAGGTTCCATTCGACTGAATGATAGCGTCGAGGAGCACCGGATGCCTGGTAACAGCCACAACTTTTAGCGTCAGAATGAAAATATCACATCTAATCGGCTCACCATTTTCCATAGATCACCCCCGTCTGCTCCGCTGCATAATCTACCCACATCCACCCCAACGCCTTAACATCTGACCATCACTCCTGGTCCCTTTCGTCGCTCGTCATGGTAGCCTCAATCCCTTTTCGTGTGCGAAGCTCTTCTTGCACCTTAGACACCCTGCGTGCAATGACAGACAACGGGGCAAAGCACTGATCCACTGGGAACTCCTCGCATTGCTGGCTGAAGTCACCGTACCGTATGTGGATCGATATATACTAAAGTTAGATCTCTATGCCCAAAACTTTCACTCACGGGAGGAGTTGGCCTGTATGATGGGCGCTTATGTAGTAAAGGAAATCGAAGGATAATAGGTGATCGTCCGGAGGAAGGGAAACCTAGTGCTGAGGAGAAGGACGATTCGTTAATGATAATTCCAGGCTTTTCGAGCGAGTTTCTAGAAACCCGAGTGATGCGAGAGACGAAAAGGATGCATGATTGTGGTGTACGCTAGGATATGTCAGCTCGACCCAAGCTGGGGTTCGTGTCCATGAGACATCTGTGATGGCCACGCGTTTAATCACCGAAGAGGGATGTTCGAAGTTGTCTCACCGAGTTTGAGCAGGTTCAGGGAGGGAATTCGTCGTGGTGTTTGGTTGGAGTTGACGTGCTCCATCCTGCCGAAGTCCACGATGTAATGTACTTCGTGTCGTTGCAAAGGTTATCTGAGACCAATGTTATGGTGAGACCCAAGCCTTGGACGTTTTCACTGAATACTGACCTCGAAAGCATTGGGTGGGTGGGCCTTGGACATACACTTGCGAGTAGATTGCCCAGAAGTACTTCCAGGCTATAGCTTGAGAGCTTAAGCAGGAGATTTCCCAAGCCGATATCTGGGAGAGAAGAACTAATGAGACTGTAGCAATACAGAATGGCCCGGTATCGGGAGTCAAGCTTTCAAAGACGGAGACCGCCACAGAGCACGCTTAGTCAGTGCACTAGTGCTTTGACAAATTTGGGTTTTCACTGGGTATCACGCTCCATCGAGATTACTTCAGCCGTTTTTGGATAATCTGAGACTTATCGGCTGAGCATCCCCAGTTGCATACTTCCTTGCGTTTCTCGAAAGTTTCCTCCACTGCCCACACTTGCCATGCGATATTATGAACAGAGATATCCAGAAGTCGACGAGCTCGTCATGGTCCAAGTCCGCCAGATTGCGGAAATGGGTGCATATGTCAAACTGGTTTGCACCATTCACTCGTACCCTATTAATTGTCATGCTGATCTATCCATGTAAAACAAGCTCGAATACGACAACATCGAGGGAATGATTCTCCTTTCAGAACTTTCTCGAAGACGTATCCGATCCATACAGAAGCTTATTCGTGTTGGCCGTAATGAAGTCGTAGTGGTACTTCGTGTGGATAGGGAAAAAGGTATGCCCCATCTTCCAGCCTAATCATCTTCTATAATACCTGCGCACAGGTTACATAGATCTATCAAAACGTCGTGTCTCTCCCGAGGATATCATCAAGTGCGAGGAACGGTACATGAAGTCAAAAGCCGTTGCATCGATCATGCGGCATGTCGCCTCGAAGCTGCCATCGATGGATGCAGACGCTGCTATCTCCCCAGAGGACGAGGCGGTGGAGAAGGAGACGAAGAAGTCTAGGCGCGCGGCGAAGAAGGACAATCCTGAGGAGGCTGCGGCTGCCATGGCTGCTGAAGAGGCCGCTGTGCCGCACGACGGATCAAACGAAGAAGAAAGATTGGAAAAACTGTACGAACAGGTGGCGTGGCCACTTGGTCATAAATATGGTCACACATACGATGCGTTTAAGCTTGCATTGACGTACGTCCCGGTGTCCTTTTGTACTTACTGCGGTGACTGACGAGACCAGCGAGCAAGAAACTGTATTTTCCTCCATTCCAAACCCTGTCTCACCAGCAGCTATCTCCATCCTTATGGGCACCATCGCACGGCGGTTGACGCCCCAGCCTATCAAGCTGCGCGCTGATATCGAGCTCACATGCTATACCCCTGCCGGTATCGATGCCATCAAAAAGGCTCTGCGGGCAGGTGAAGCACAAAGCAACGAGACGGTGCCGATTAAAGCCAAGCTTGTAGCCCCTCCACTATACGTTCTCAGTACAAACGCAACAGATAAGGTTTGCCTCTATCATTCTCGATTACGAAGCTGTCTGAGGGAATTTGTAGTACGCTGCTGTTGATCGGTTGGAACGCGCGATCGAGTCGATTCTGGGCACCATCGAGGGTCAAGGTGGAAACCTAGTTGTAAAGATGAAGGTAAAGTGCAATTATCTACTACACTTCATCCATATCCTGACTCCGTTTACTATTCTTCTCTCAGCCAAAAGCTGTTTCTGAGACGGAAGAGCAGGATCTCGCACAGCTCATGGCCAAAGCAGGTCAAGAGAATGCAGAAGTTTCTGGTGATGAGGATGACGAGGAGGGGTCCTAGTTCATTCTCAGCCTAAACGCCTCGTATACATTTCTCGATGATCACGACTTAAGTACTTCAAATTCCTTAACATCCTTTTTCGCCACTTGTCACGAAAATCTTCAAAATGTTGCCGCTTATTATTGCTTATTCACTTGTCATTTTTTTTCACAAGCACTCACAAGTAAATGCGTGATTCACAAGTGCCCTGTGACAAGCGCCGAAAAGTAAATAACTTATGTAATAAGCCGATGCAAATCAAAGTGCGTTGTATTATTACAAGTGAATAAAATTTTACAACTATGAATAATGTGCAAGGCCGCTTGCAGCACTCCTCGAACGTTCATGCACATGAATGAGATGCACAGAAACCCGTACCGGTATAGCCTGTCGCAAATCAGCCATATGAAAATGATGTTAATGAATACAACAACCCTCCGGGCACAACTTTGCATCATATTCCCAGGTCTCTTGATCCGCTTCTTGAATCTTCGTAGACGGTCGGAAGCGAACAATTCGCACACCGTGAGGTAACTATGCAAATCAATTATCATCCACGCGTTTTCAGAACAAGTTACCCCGGTACACACTTACCGTTTCGATGGCCTTGCTGGCACTGAATGTGTTAGGCAGTGTTGGGTTCTATCATGAAAAAACTCCGGAACTATCTTTCCTTTCTGTTTATGTATGGGACTGGTTGCATATCATCGGGCGACCTTGTTCGTAGGCCTCAACTATAAGTATGTCATTTGTAAAGTCCATCTTCCGTCGCTTGAAGGGCAAGAACGCAGAGCAACGAGGTCTGTCTTTCTATCTTTTGTTTTGCATTATTTCGGTCCTTCAACTCGTTTCTTCTGCAGCTACTTTACAATCTTCCAATGATCAGCCATCGGTCCAAGCCTCTAAGTCCAAGGTCAAGGAGGGCGGTTTCTGGAAGAACTTTGATTGGTGGTTGATGTGCGCTTTAGCCATCCCAGTGATACTTGAAACTTTAGACTATACGGGCAAGTCATTTTCGTTTTTTCTGCCTCTCGTCTCACCTTATTGGAACATCCAGTTGTCGCCACTGCGCAACCTCGGATTGCAGTGAGTGTCATGTTGCCTCCAATCTGACAGTTCTTGACATTACTTTCAGTCTGTATTCAACGCCTTCAACCTGCAAAGGTACTTATACATTTTGAATTGCGACATGGGAGTTCTACTGATTTCCGCTATTAGCTATATTGGCACGTCATACTTGTTAGCATCAACAGTTTTCTTGCCCTTCTTTGCATCCATTGCCGATATCTATGGTCGTCACTTTGGACTTCAATTGTCTCTTCTATTCTTCCTTGTCGGTAGTACCTTCAGTACAGGAGCTGTCAACATGACAATGCTTTTGGTTGGCAGAGGAATAGCTGGTATTGGAGCCGCAGGTTTGTTGACAGTATGTATTACTTCTTGTGAAGAACAACATTCTGATTATTAGTAAGGCTGTGCGAATAATAATGTTGGATTCATCCTCACTGGATACGAATAATATCCAGCAATCCGCTGCGTTCTGCTTGTATGCTCTCGGTTTTTGTATAGGCCCCGTCATCGGTGGTTTCCTAGTCACGGCCAGCTTCCGCTGGGTGTTTGCAATCAAGTATGGGTCTCTCAGTACACTTAACGAACGATGTTAACGGAAATATAGCATTCCGTGTGTTGTTCTTGCCATGGTTTTGTGTTTCTTTTTGCTTCGCAAACGTGTCGAAGGTGCCAAATCATTTGAGGAACGTCTAGGTTCCACCAAATCTATGACATGGATAATGAAGCTAGCCCTTATCGACTGGATTGGAACGTTCCTCTTCGTTATAGGAGGCATACTCATTCTGCTTGCGCTGAATTGGGGTCCCGATGAGGACTGGAAGAGTGTTCGCGTCATAGTCTGCCTGGTTATTGGTGTCATTGTCTTTGTGACCTGCATTCTTTGGGAGGTCGTCTTGGAGCGGAAGCACAGAGCTTTTACCGTACCAATTTCGGCACTTTATCATGCGCAGCCCATGCTGCCTCTCAGACTCTTTCGGTCCTACGACATCTGTGTCTTGTATTATGGTTGCTCCGCGACCGGCATCGTCATTTTTGTGATGTTCTACTTCGTCGCAATATTTATGACCGTCGTCTCTGGATTGCCACCTGATCAAGCCGGTATACAACTCCTTTATTTTTCTCCTGGCCTAGTATGTTTCCGCACTACATCAAATCACCGATGTCTCACTGTTATAATAGGGAGGAGGTTCATTGGTTTCCATTTGGTTGGTCAAGCACTTCAGACAGGTAGACAACTACAGTCTCTCCTTGTAAATACGCATATCTAACGATCCTTCCAGCCGATATATTCAATCGTTGCTGGATCAATTGTCATGACCATTGGTTTGGGTCTCATTCAGATGGGTATGCAGAAGAATGTGCAAGGGCTTATCAATGGGTGCGACGTTTATGTACTGATCAGAAGCGGATTTCTTACATCCGAACTTAGTTTCATGTGCCTGACAGGTTTCGGAGTTGGTCTTACAGCTGGCCCTAATTCCATCCAAGCTCGCTTTTTGATGTCAGACCATGTCGCCGCAACTAGCGCTCTGTCGCTTTTCGTGAGTTATGTCGACATGCCGTATGGTGCACATACTCAAATGATATCTCGTAGTTCCGTGCCCTCGGTGGAACCGTCGGTCTAGCACAGTGTTTCACTGTCATGAACGCTAAAGTTAATCCCTACATCGTAGGGCAGATGCGAAGTGGTGCTATCTCAGGCTCTGACCTCAGTGCCCTTGAAGCGCTCTACAACAGTGGTGGCCTCGACTCTATCCAGTCGCTCGAAGGTCTGCCGCCCGTTGTGCAGCAAATCATCCGTGATGCTTTCAGGAACGGTGTCCGCTGGAGCTTCATCTCCCTCATTCCTTGGACTGCCTTGGCAGTCATCCTGTCCTTGTTCCTTTCTAAGATACCTGATCCTGGTGCTCAGAGGACCAATCATGACGAGGAAATCAAGCTACCATAATATAACGAGACGCGAATGCCTTTCGATGAACTAGAGGGTGTCAAATATCTTGACATGCCCAATCAGCAACAGAACCGTTAAAACACTTTTATAACTGTGCGAAGATGATCGGCCTAGTAGATGTTGTCAAACAATTCACATTATTCCTCTTGCGATCTTGGCATGCAGCCCGATTCATTCCTCCGATCCTATGTTCATCATACAGGTTATGGCATTGTATGTTTACAGTGACCTTTCATCTAATCTACCTCCTGGTTGCATGCTGACGACTTTCTGTCACTTATGGAAATCGCTATTCAAGCTGCCTGCGACCTTTGCACCAAGCTCTGAAGAATGTTCACCACGTCGCCAAACTGACTCTCCTCCTCAGCGCTCGCTGTATCCTCGGAAATTGGTGGACGCGCCCCCCTTTCAGGTAGGTAGTTTGACCACACCAATTCTCCACCGTGTATGAACGATATGCCATAAGATGTCTTATAGTAGTTGAGTGGCGGGGCGCCTTGCTTTACCGCAGGATCTTGCTTAACCGGGTTCCAGATCTTCTGAAGTATGTTGATAGCCCGGTCGATCTCTTCAGCACCGTCAGAGATGATCAGGGGTGCAGCGGCAGCGGACAGCAGTGGTTCATATTGTTGACGTGTTTGAGAAGAAACAGAAAGATTCTGTGTGTTTGATACCAATCTGGAAAATGTGTGTTCAAAATTGGCGACTTCGAGTCCAGCAAAGCCGCTGCTGATCCCTGGATACAGTCAATAGAGTGTCATTGGATCCAGCACAACATATACCCACCCTGACGGAAAATGATTCGATCTTCGGTTGCCATTGCGTACTACTTTGATTTCAAGTAGGAGAGGTGATGACGGTCTGATGATAAGGTCCGCTGCCATCTTGGCTATGAAACCTACGTTTGGTATTAGGATTGCAATTAGGGTGCTTTTGCCAGGCCCTGACTAATAAACTCCTTATGTAACCAACTGCGTAAGATTTACAACGTCATTGGTTTATGTGGAATGAATATCGAATTGCTAAGTAGGTCTTGCTTTACTCAACCTTCACCTTACCAAAACCAATGAATTCCAGCTCAGGACCTCATACAGACTCTGTTACATACCCACCCGCAGTTCGTGCTGTAGAAAAGGAAATTGTCTCCTCTCAACCTTCCTCATCGTCCATGTTGTTACATTCCTCCCCCCAGGACAGACCCCCACAGAAAGATGAGCAAACGCACTCGCCGTTGCGCTTGAGAGGTGGTTGCATTCCTTGTCCCGTAAGTTGTCTCAAGTTGCAATAAAGATGAGCTAAAGTTCGAGTGCCAGGGCGGAATATGTTGCATCATTCCGTGTCCATGTTGTTGTTGAGATGGATCAATTACCTTGACACGAAGTCTGCCCATTTAAATGGATGGGTATTTGTGGTCGTCGGTGTCACATCAGAGTAACGTCAGCATTAAGTAGCACATCTCGTACGCTCCTCAGTTATGTATACTATCTTCTTCCAAGAAATACTTTATATTGGTTGTTGCTCCTGCGCTTTATTTCAGATGTCGTCAAAGCTAGCATGTTCAACTCCATTTACAGGCGTAATAATAGTGCCACGCATCGACTTTTTCCAGTGCTGTTGCAGGAGCATCACCCACAACCCCCTGTCCGACGGCACTTAAGGTCACTGCGTACTTTTCCACATCGACTCTTGCTCCACATCATCTTTCTCCAAGGACAGCAGTCGCAAATATCTCTCTAGGTGGGCTGGCCCTTATTAGGTACTATGTTAGGGAGGACGAAGATACTTGGTGGAATGTCCAGCTAGTTCGGCACCCGGCCCGAAGTAAGCCTGCGGAGTTGTCATAACAATCACGATATCCCACTACGTAGTACCGCAGTCAAACCGCAGTAATACTTAGCCTGAAATTTGGATCGCATTGCGTATGATCGTCTCGTGTTATTTTATCCGCAGCGTCACACGAAAGCACAGTAATCTCAGGCAGGTATTCCCAATCGAAAACAACACTTCGCAGCATAAGACTCTGAGGGTAACTTTCTTTTTGACTACCTTGGACTTAGTACAATTCGATGTGTGTGTAAAGATGTGGCGGGGCAGTATCGAATGGTCTAGAGTCTAGACCTTAGGCTTGAAAGCTTGACCCCTGGCTCATGATGACTATTTTCCATGAGGCTGCAAGTAGTAAAGCTTAAAGCTTAAAGCTAAGCGCTAAGGTCGGAGACTAAACTGGGATACGGATCAGATTGATTTAAATGCGAGACGCGTAGAGCCATGGACCGCACAAAGTTAGGCAGACCGGTCATAGGTGAAGCTACTGTCCAAAGCGACACACGTCGTTGACGCGGCTGAAATGCGGAGTTGAAATTTACAAAATTGAAAATCACAATACGGTGCCTGGTTGTTGAAGACTGCTGTCATTATGCACCACTGGCAATGATCATAGTATCTCGACACGATGGTCAATTCCGTTCAAGTTATGTGGGGCCCTGGGGCCATTGGTGAGTCTTCCGATAGTCCATTCTATGTACCTCGAATTGACTTTAAAACCAAGGATTCATGGTAGCTACAGCGTATGGATTTGGGATTCAACGGTCTCTACCCAAAGTTGACATGCAGAATTATGAAGGTTTTATGGGGCAGCTTTTGGGCAGTATATCTTCTACCTCAGATCATTTCCGCAAGATTCGAAAAGACTCAAATTATTTGTGAGTGAGAGACTTCTCCCCATCCATGAAAGCCTTGACTTAATAACGTATTTGATCGCTAGGTATTCATGGTCTTGTATGTGCTTCTGTCATCTGACCATGCTCAAGTGTACACTGATAACTGACGATGATGTCTCGCAGTTGTCTCGGAACAATACACGAATATGCCTTGATAGGGATGTATTGGTCTATCCTTATTTCGTGCCGTCGTAGCACGTCTCATGAGTGCACGACTGAACTCCCATGGTAAGTCGATAGATCTCTTATTGGCTCCCAAATCGTCTCATAGAGAGGATAGGCAGATGGTGGCAAGTGCATTTACATTGATGTAATACTACCTATTAAAAATGGCTGCCGCAGCTAGGGGTATTTATGGCAGTGAGTCTTCTATATATTACTGTTATTAATTTTCAACAACATCAAAAGTGTTGGATTATATTCGCAGTCCAGTGGTATGTGCTTGCCATGGTTGATTTCCTGCAGCATTATACAGAAATTGATTTGATTGTCGAAAGCTTTTATGCACACAGGGTGTGGATAAGTGAGTCATCGAGGGTCTGCAGGACCAAGAGTTTTAACGCTTTTATTCAGTCACAGAACATAACCGCTTAATTACAGGCACAATTGTGAGACCGCATTTACGTAATTTATTTCTCAGCGTAACACCAATCTTCAGTGCGCATTCGCCGCTACAGCATTAGGTCATTTCTTTTGATCTCAGATACTCAACGGCTGACTCTTCAGCACTGTAGTTTTTGGCACGAGTGTGTCCGTCTTTCATCCCTGATGTCAATGTCCTGACTTGCTGCTGTCTTCGTCTCTAGTAACAGGCAGTGTGATGTGAGTTCTTGTCCTGGAGTTCGCATAATTAATTACTCATATAAATTTCAAAGATTCGAATCGAGAAACCCTGTAGATCTATTCGGTAAAAAGGTTGGTCATGAAATAGTTTTGAGCAACCTTAAGGCACTCATACTTTGATTCAGTGGTGTCAGATTTCTGCAGTTGCTGGTGCCTTGTGTGATATTATCATTACCGGGACAGTCTGGTGGTTTTTGCGTCCTGCACGAACAGACAATGTGCGGTACGAGTCTTTTCCCTACCCTTGTTGTCTATGTCATGTTGAAATCTGTGGTTGAAGGTCAAAACCGGATTATCTCAATAAACTAACACAAATTTTTGTTCACATGGGTTTACTTACTTGGTATGTGTAATGTTACAAACATGCCGAACACTCCCGTCACGAGGTTCTCCAGCATTATGGCAATCGCGATGGCTGTGCTCGTGAGTCCTGTCGTTCATGCAACATGCGGGACATAACGACAAGCACTGTTTCAGTACCAGGTTCAGGATGGTGGTCTTGGCCAGTTCTATTCCGCGTTGCCTGGATCACTACTAGCAAAAAGTTAGTATGTTGCATGCTCACCGTGCAAGCACTGAAACCAATCGCCTTAGCCTATTTGAACTCGATGATGGGAGTGTAAGTGGATAAAATATTCCTTTACACGAAGCCCACTAAATTGGTGGATTTGTGCTCAGGCTCAATGCTAGGAAGTCAATACGCGAACAACAACGACTTGAAGCTGGCTGCAGTTCAATGGAACTTCCTACCATACCGACCATAGGTTGATCTTTCCCTTGTGGTAGCAGAGATATAATTATTGTTACAAGTTGCTTACAAGCTTTCACCTGCAGTCGTAAGCTGCCACATCGCCTACGTGGGCCGAAAGGACAAGCGACACATCCGCGCACTCACTATCATTCCTCGTTGACACCGCCGGTTGGTTGTTATTCTTATTTACCTCCTGACCGTTTACTTTTATTACTATAGTTCTCATATTCCATCTCTTTTACTACTTCTTCTAGCTTGAGCTGAGATGGGATGACCATCAAGGCACTTGGCACCTGAAGCTGTCGGGCATAGATAGAGAAATATCACATTCATTTAGATTCGGGAGGAGGAAAACGCATTGCTTCCGGATGAGGGTTCGATGCGGATTCATATTACAGCTGCAGCTGGAGTACATGGAATCCCGCACTCGATTTATAAACGCAATTTTCTCCACGCAAACATTTATTCATAGAAAAATGCTTTCAGGCAAACTCATTTCAGGTGGATGTGGCACACGATCCTGAAGGCACCCAGGACTTGCCTTCAGCTGAGAAACGCGATAGCCTGGTTTCTGGGCAAAATTGTGATAGGAGAAAAGTAAAGGAATCAGAGTAGTTATGATCGCATGCATATACATGGTGTGGCATGATATGAGCCTATGTGTAAGCACCTAGAATATACAAATTACCGCCCAGCGCCAGGGACGTTGCGCTTCTCCCGCCGAGGACGCTCTGGTTGCTGGATAACAGTCTGTACGATGGTCACAGGAATGGAGTCGAAGTTGAGTGCCTTGAGAAGTTCCTAAGGAAAAATCAAATGTCAGCATGGAATTCTTGCCAGAAAAAGAATACAGTGGTAGCTTGAGGGGAAGCCGAATTGAGACTTACTGCGGTGTCCTTGTCGATCTCCAAGCCTGTTGCACTCGTGTCAAGAGCAGATACCTCAGGTACGTAGTTATCTTTTCGCTCGCGCTCCTCCTCCTGGAGCTTGAACGAAATACCACGGACGGGCCCGCGCTGAATACGCTTCATCAGGTGGGTAGTGAAGCCGGAGACCTTGTTCCGGAGCCGCTTGGAGGGAACCACAGCCTGTAGGAAAGGGATGAGATAGCACCAGTAAGCTAGGTGGAAGGGTACTGACAACTTCATCGATGATGCGCTTGTTGGTGTGGAAGTCGAGGGTGAGGCGGGGGTAGCTGTACGTCATACATTAGAATCAATCACTGTTCCTGTGCAGTCATTCATCGTCTTTCTTTCGAGACCTCTGGTCCTCCATCCCCGAAACCCGGTCAACTCTTAGAGATTAGACTTACTATTTTTCGATGAGCACACGGGCAGCCCTCTTGGTGGTTTTGGTACGAACACGACCCTAACCACAGCCTCAGAAATAATACCCATCTGTCTGATACAAACACGCACCATTTTGTTAAATTTTTAGTGTCGAGGACGTTGACGATGTCGATGCCTTAGGGCTAAGATCATGCAGGCGAAGCTCTCGGTAATTTCCGCAGTGGCTGAAAGGTACTATACAGTCGCACAGCCACACATGCAGCTTGCAATCCAATTTGTTCGAGTCCATATTATCCGGTAAATCCTCAAGGCCAGCAGCAAGGTGAGCCTGCGCTTATGTCTACGTGCGACATGATTGTGCTGTATTCTTGGCTTGACCGGTCCCATGCCATGGTTTCTCGCAGCTCGTCTTGACTCGCGCTTTCCGTAGCACGATACTCAGACGAGCAGGTACTCACATCGCATTCGATAGTGTTACCCTTCCATCCTGCCTCTACCCTCGATAATTCAAAATGGTCCGCGTCTCCGTTCTTGTGAGTGTTTTATTTGTTCTAGTATGATCAACCTGACCGTGATTTTGTATTAGAACGACTGCCTTGTAAGTCAATTGTGTCTATGAGGCGGCCGTGTTGATTTATTGAGTTACTAGAACAACATTGTCAATGCTGAGCGCCGGGGAAAGCGCCAGGTTCTTATCAGACCTTCCTCGAAGGTCATTGTGAAGTTCCTCTCTGTCATGCAGCGTCATGGTGAGTCTGCCTTGTTTTACTGAAATTCATCATTCATTGCTTTGTGCGATTCTCGGAGTTATAACTACGATTGACGGGGTTTAACTTCCTACCCGGCCTTCGTTTTAATCCTCCGAAATATTAACTTGTCTCTCAATACCAAACAACGTTGATCTTCCATCTCTCACGGATCGGGGTTCACTGTAGAGTCTACATTATTTTCTCATTATTAGTCACATGAGCATGGGTACTGACCTTGATTTCTTGCAGGCTATATTGGTGAATTCGAGATCATTGATGATCACCGCTCTGGCAAAATTGTGATCCAACTCAACGGCCGGCTCAACAAGACGGGTGTCATCTCACCACGTTTCAATGTTCAGGTGACCCAGATCGAGTCCTGGGTTAACTTACTCCTCCCTGCCCGTGGTTTCGGGAAAATTATATTGGTGGGCTGTTCCGAATCTGAGATTGATAGAACGTGGGCTGACTTCGTTCGTGATGACAGACTACTTCGTCAGGAATTCTTGATCACGAGGAGGCTCGTCGCAAGAACGTTGGTGGGAAGCTTCTGGGATATGTTTACTAGAGTTGTATGCTATGTCGCCCTAAAAACCATGCCATGCATGCTATGCATGTTTACTCAGCTCAGATGACTCCTTTTGTGTGATTCAAGTACTGTATTGAGCGTGAGCGAAGCACAACGTGGCCAAACAGAGTACATTTCCGTTGTGGGCGCGGCATACTTGTTACATATTTACGCGCCTTCATTCTCGTCAACGAGATGACGCTTCCTGCAAACGACGCCTTCTCGTTAGGTCTTGCGCACGACCAGCCCCGTCGTTCGAGCTCGCGCGCCCGTACACCGTCACTCCCACGTCGCTCCTCTTCCCCAAAAATATATTTTTCTCCACCTTCCACGTCAAGCAGCATCGTCTTCTCGCCACAGCCAGCAAATGGAATGCCTGCCAAGAGAGGACATAAGCGCAAGGCATCTGCAAGAAACGGTTCCAAACAGCTGAAACACAACGGAGAAGCGACGATAGAGGAACTTATAGAGGAGGTCGACGCGCGAATAGCACGCGAGCGCAAGCTGTCCCCCAACAGCTTACCTGATAAACGCAACACTCTGAAAAAACAGATTGATTGGGAGATTCCTCGCAAGGCGTTACATTCATCCATTGGTATGTAAATTCTTGATTCCCCTAAAGGCTCCTGTATCTTTGGTCTGACGAGCGGTTTTTGGTAGGTTTTTTTACAATTTACCTATACACTTCCAAAGGCGACCCACAGACGGTCGTTATTGCTTTGAGCACTGCCCTTGCTGTTCTTGTTCCAATAGACATTCTCCGCCTAAAGTATCCCCTCTTCGAACGTGCCTTTGAGAAATGTGTTGGCATCTTCATGCGCGATAGCGAAAAGGCAAGCATGACCAACACTAAGCATGGATTCTGACCTCACGTATCCTTAGAAATCATCTAATGGTGTTATATGGTATATTCTCGGCGCCAACACTGCGTTAATTACGTTGCCTCTTGACATCGCAATCGTCTCAATTCTTATGTTTGTGTATTTCCCCTGTTCTGCTATTCCCTGTTCATTGTACTCCAACAGCCTGTCTTGGGCTGATACAGCCGCCTCCACTTTCGGTCGTCTGTGGGGCCCGCTCACACCCCCGCTCCCTGCACGACTCTTTGGTCTCCCTCTTGCCCCTCGTAAAAGTCTGGCGGGCTTCATTGCAGCCTCACTCACAGGTGCTGCTGTCGCTGCCGGATTCTGGACGTACCTTGGACCGGTGAGAGACAACTCGACGTGGTCCTGGGACGCTGGTGTATCGAGTACGTTTAGCGGTGGGAGCGCAGAAGGTGGGAAGGTCTTCAGTGGGTGGGCGGGTCTTGCTGTTGTAACTGTGTGTGCGGGTTTAGTTTCGGGCATTGCCGAAGCACTCGGTGAGTGCTTCATTGTTCGCTTTGCTCTGGTTGCTCACTCTGGAATGTAGATTTGGGTTCCGTGGACGATAACCTCAGTCTACCAATCATCGCTGGTGGATGCCTATGGGGACTCTTCAAAGTCCTCGGCTGGCTAGGCGATATATTCTCATGATTCCCCTTTTCAACTCCTCCTTCACCTTCAGCGTCAATCATCGGATATTTGCAATTTCATGTGTTCAATCTTTCAATGGTGGATATTTTACCTGATGTCGATAGTGATGACGAGAGTGTGAGACAAGACGATTATGATGATGATGATGATGGATGATATATTAACCAATTTCATGCGTTTGTCTGTGCTACTTTCAATGCGCTAGTTAGTAGAAGTAGATTACTATAGTCATTCATACGTATACCGAATTCAAGCCAATTTTGTTGTGTCAGCGGCTACGCGCTAGAGCAGTTAGATTTTGTCCAGGGACGCACAGTAATATCAGCCACCAACATGCAGATGTCATTAGGAGCAGAACAAAGAGGTAAGTATGAATGTACCGTAACATCATGAAGCAATCCAGAATGGTTCTTAGAAACGTGCCCAACCAAGCAACGCCAAAGAATAAGCAATATAGCAAAGTCTGATCTCTACCCGCTGACACGGCCCGTATACCCAGCAGTACCGACATACACTCCCTCGGCTGTCATCACGGCCGCATGCCCGCCAGGGGTGATCATCGCGACGTGGCCAGTCGGCGTGGCGCTCGCTGTAAAACCTCCGTGGGTGCGGTACAGTGATCCTGCACTGGCATGTGTAGACCAGAAACTGTCGTATGTCAGTGGGCTGCTCCCATTCCCATTCGCAAACGGAGATTGCGAGTTGGTACTGGGCTGTGAATGAAATATTTGTGGGTTGGACTGATTTTGGAGCGAGGTTGCGTGATATGATTGGGTGAAAGAATATTGCGGAAGGGGTTGGGGCATGAAGGGGTTGGGTTGGGGTTGAGAAGACTGTCGATTGAGGGGCATGTAAGGGTTGTATGGCTGGGATTGTGTGTGAGTTTGAATCTGTGTTGGTGTTTGGCTGTGTGATGAAGCCTGAAATTGAAGTTGAGGTTGGAGCTGCATTTGCATCTGCGTGAACCTTACCATAGTTGCTGGGTCGCTAGAATCGAGGGAACTGTGCGGAGGGGTTGCTGTCTCTGAGTTTGGTTGTTCCTGAGGGACAGTAGCTGATTGCGTGCTGAGGTGAACAGGGGTGGGAGCAGGTTGAGACGGTTCCTGGGAGGGCGCTTTGTCGGGGAGGGTTTGTATTGTATGTAATGCAGATTTTGAGGTGGTTTCGGTAAATGAGTTTTGCACAGGAGTTGACATTAATTCAAGAGGGGAATTATGTGGGGACGTGGGCTCTCGGGAAGTATCTGTGGGAGATGTTTGGCTATTGATGACCTGCTGTGATACCTCATCGACCACCACGGGCTCGGGAGGTTCTGGGACGGTTACGGTTGGAGGGAGTGAATTAATAGACGGTGGAGGAACAGTTTTTGCAGGTACGACAGGACGCAGCCCGCGTACCTGCGAATGATGGAAATACAGGTTCTCAACCTCGTTCAAGTTTTGGCGTTGCTAGTAATGAACGGTCGGGCCATCAATCACCACATCAGCTAGTAGGAGAGCGTACCCATCCATGCTCAACCTTTAGCTTTGCGTACTGCAGGCGCATCTGTAACTGTTTCGAGAGCTGGGAGTATCGTATGTTAGAGATGTGATATATGCAAGGAGCATGTCGCCCATAGAAAACGTACGTGATTTGCTTTTGCGCGCTCTAAAGTCTGCTTTCGTTTCTTTTGCTCTGCTTCGTTCGACTGGGGGGATGCTATAGTCACCATGGTGAGGCCTAGGACTTGCAGGTAAGTTGCAGAAACTGACAAAGTGAACTCAACGTGACACAAAGATCCCTCTTAATAGTAAAGTTTCCTCATTTGGATTGCCGCCGGGATATCCTTTCCTAGTTCATCCAAGTACACTGCGGACGACGATGAACAGGCTTTGATGGACAAGTTTGCTGCACTCGAACCCACGCGGCTTTATTCATCATCGGCGTCTGCGACAAACAAGAGGGCAAGCAGAGCACAACCTATTTCTCGATGGATTGGCAAATTACCTGCTGATATTCACTTGCTTGTCCTGAACCATCTCCCTATCCCCGACATCCCTGCCTATGCTCGAGCATCAAGAGCAACTGCTGGTCTATCCCGCGATGAGAAAGTATGGGAACGAAGATGGAATGATTTATCCATTACTCGGCACGCCCTGGATGACACGTTAGACGATCTTGAATCCAAGCAAAAGCCAAAGGCTAGCCCATGTTCGCCTCCTACGATATCTGTAGATGATGATTTCGGAGATTTCACGTCTGCCCCGCGCATGCCATCAGTTCCATCTCTCTCTGCTGCATTTACTTCATTCGCGTTCACAGACGCATCTCCAGGAAAGCAGACTTTCCGCACCCGGTATACACGCGCTCATTCAATTCTAAACAAATGCCTGGCTCCTCTGAAGCAGCCACCCCATGCAGTCCTTTCCGCGCTCACACCTCTTATAGGCGTATCTCTGTTGTCCCAGGCCCGTTCTCTTCGCCTACTCGGCTTCTTTCTCTCTCCCCGCGTTCAACCCGTAAGAAATTGGGACATCCTTCTCGCCGCTCTGAAGGCTGCTATAGATCGATTTGACGTATCACTTTTGACCGCCTTTGATGCTGCCGATTCTCGCGGAGACGAAGTGATGATGAGAGAAGCTGCTCGTGCCAGCTGGGAGGTGTGGCCTGGGATTGGGGATTGGGAAATGGGCAAGGTATGGGCTGAGAAGCGAGAGATATTGTATGAGCAAGGTCGTTGGAATCCGCTAGCTAATTTCACGTGAGTGACTTACATGATCTGTATCTTCCGAGTATTTAAATGATGTGCGCAGGGAGGAAAATACTCTTGACTTTACACCCATGGATGAATTTATGGCCAGCATCATACGTGCGCTGGAGGAACACGGCACGAGGGCTGTGTTCGTCTTTCCGCCAGCTGCTGGAGTCCTCATTGGGTTCGCAGAGCGTGTCGCCAACGAAGTTGTAAGTTCATGTCATGTCTATTTCTCCCCCATTTCATAACTATGGGTGCGTGTAGGTTGGTGAATACATAGCTCCACTGCTGACACGTGCCAGAGAAATATCGAATGCTCTTTATCTCACTGCAGTGGCTGCCAGCTTCAGGGAATCATGGAGGATTGTGGACGTTCTCACTACCTTGTCTAGTAATTTCAGCCACAAAGATAAAGATAAGGCAGAAGATGTTGTGTGAGTGATAAATTTCCTGGCTCGCTCGCTCTTCTATATTCCTCATTGTCGCTACATTCTTTCGGAGTACCGTTAGAAGTATTGCTAACTGTACGAACCCATAGATTCATGATGTTTGAGCCAAACATGGACGAATACCTTGACGAAGAAATAGAATCATTAAAACAGGCATTCGAGGTGATATGCAAAGAGTGGGCCCGGTCGGTACGCGCCTCCTTTCCTATTCGTGACGATTTTTGTTCCTTGCCTCACCTTCAACTTGCAGACATTAGCGCTTGCATCACATGGTTTACCCACGCAAGCACAACAAACCCGCTTCCTTACTGCGCAGAACCCGGCTCTTATGAAGCGTACCGTTCTAGCGTCATTCACTGACGTGCTCCTATTACCTGTGACCATAGTCCCACGTACTGTCGGTGCCGGAGTGGTAGCTGTAGGGGGAGCTGTAGGGGGAGCTGTTGGAGCCGTCGGCACAGGTATGGTCCAAGGCATTGCAATGCTTAATCCACAGCGGTGGGTCGGTGGCACGGGATCGGTGAACAACGCAAAAGAATATACCAGCTTCGGCCTCCGGAACGCCGAAGGAGAGGCCGCTATCTTTGAGATTGGTGCTGATGAAGAGGGAGGTAATGACAGTGTTGATGAAAGTTCAATGGCACAATGTAAGTATTAATTGTGATGTAGAGTAGGAAACTCATCAGCTCCAGCATCCACACGAGATACTGTTTCAATTGATAGTACAAACACAGCTGCAACCTCCTTTACGCCATCTACATTTGACACTTCTCAAACAAATGTGGCTTCCTCTACATCTGCGATAAAAGCGACGCTGGCGCCAACAGGAAATCTTGATCTCCTGTTATCTCTCGATGTTGCTCTGCAGTTGATTCATGCAGACCGTGATGCGCTCAAACGCCTCGAGATCTTTGCGTCATACCCGGGCCATTATGGAATAAGGGTAAGAGAGACAATCGAAGAAGCATTTTGCGAGATGCTGGGGGTATTGTGTAACAGGCATCTAGAGAAAGGTTTTGGAATGTAAGTGATACATTTTGCGGGCCCGCCTCTCGCTTGTGTATTTGTCGTAAGGTAACCTTCCGCATTGACAGAGCAACGGAGCGGATGAATTCATACAAACCAGCAGAACACGAAGAAACTGCCAGTGTAGCGCCGCTGCTGCAATTCTTTGAGCTCGTCCATATAGGGGATACGATTCAAAGCATGGTACAAGTATTCTTTGACAAGGAACTGGTATGTGTATTTTGAAATCACGGACGTTTCTCCAGACTCTGCTACCTGTGTCAGGCTCCATACATCGACAAAACGGACTTTCTGAATGTGGTCGTGAGAGAGAAGAAACGGTTTGAAAATACACTCGATGACTGTGTTGCTGCAGGGCTCAATGCTGGAACACAAGTGCTAATGAATCAGGTGTGTAGTTGTGCTCTCCCAATCCTTCTTGGCAAATTCATTTGTGTGTCAGGTTGAACACATCATCCTGACATTGACAAAACCACGGGAATATTATCCCCCAGAAGATGCTCCACTAGAGTTGGGTCCCACTCAGGGCTGTACGGAAGCTATCCGATGCTTGGATACGCATTGCAAGCTTCTCAAGGGTAGCACGAGCAAAGAGGTGCTTGAAGTATTCTACCAAGAGGTTGGAATCCGGTTATTGGCGTGAGTCTGTAAATGTTGAGACACCTTGTTGTGGGAGGCTGATATGGCGGTACAGTATACTGCAGAAGCATATCAAGCGCCAGATCATATCTCTGAATGGCGGTTTCCAAGTCATTGCCGACCTCAATGCTTATTACTCCTTTATAGCTTCTCTCAAGGCTGGTCTATCTCTGCTGATTTCAATCACATGGCGCCTGATGCCTTGTGAATAGGTACCTAATATCACTGCGGATTTCTCACATTTGAAGATGTTGGGACATGTCTTTGTCGTGGAAGACGCAAAGGATCTAGCACAGATCGTAAGAGATGTGACAAGATATGGTGGGGCATATCGACCTGAGGTTTGCGATTTTCCAGCACTATCCCGGAACAACCCCAAATAACGATGTTTTCGCTAGGATATTTACGAATTTATTCAACGACGCGCTGATTGGAAAAAGATCGAGAAGACGGTAGACAAGACGATGTATAATTTGAGCTTCAAAGAAGATTGTATTGTTTGCTGAACTTGGGGCTGGAGTGCATTATGACGCTATGTAGTACCAACTGTATTATCCGTGTGTTCTGATGCCTCATTACTCGATCAGAAAATGATGGAAACGATAGTGGTGGCAACTAGACTATCCTCAGTATACGTCATTTCATGCGAGGATATAATAGTTTTCCCCCGTTTGTTGTCCTTCGAAGCTTCTACTCCCCTTGAAGGCTTTTGATTCCACTCGCCTATCAAACTGGTGGTGCGACGGTGACTCGGATCATCGGTCTTGATCGGCTCCCTGGCACAAGGCATTATTCAAGTGTCGTTCAAGTTTTCTTTACCGGAAAGATGTCAGACGACATTACTGCGCCTACTACCAACACTTGAAGATTCAATTTGTTGTCAGAAGCCTCTTCGATCCATTCATTTGAGTTTATGGAGAATACATCTACGAATGGATAGAGTTGACTTGGCAGAAGTGCTTTATGCATAGTAGTGTCTATGCGGGCGGCTGTTGTGTTACCGTACCGACTGCCACCGGTAAACATGACATAACATTTATATACAAGCACCCACTGATCTCCAAGGACGGCGCTTCAGTTTAGGTAAGTTCGAATGGACGTCTAAGCGGGTGAATTTTTCTGGGATTATAGTACTCCCGATCCGCCTCCAGCCAGAGTACGTGTGATCAAAGTGCTCAGTGAGATTCGTCTTAATGTTGTACCAGTGCCACTGCAGCCAAACATATATAGAGCAGCTAAAGAGATAAGTATATCTACTGCTAGTGTGGGACTAGCGCTGTTCGGTTTGGATTCCGCGTCGGTCACTTATCACTTACGGTACAGCCTAGTGTCATGAAAACACTCTTGAGCCATGCCGTGAAGAATTATAAAAACATATAAGGGCATACTAGTGAGCCTATTGCAGACGGCAGCCAGGCCTGCTAAGTACTTCTTCCCTGCGGCTTGCCTCTCAGTGTGTCTCTCCAAGTTCATTAAGCATGATGGCAGTCAATTCCACGGAGCTGATGTGGGGGCCCGGATTCATTGGTGAGCCTTCTGATACGGCTGGTCTTCAATTTCACCTAGCTGACTCTAGGTTTCAAAGGATTTATCATAGCTACAGTGTATGGACTTGTACCATTCAGTCTTTGCTACTGAGTGTTGACCTGTAGGATTTCAAAGGCTCTACGGGACAGCTTTTGGACAGTATCTCTTCTACGTGCGATGGTTTCCGCAAGATTCAAGAAAACTTAAATTATTTGTGAGCCCAACTTATGTACATCGACAAAAGCATCGTCAATTAATACCTCTGATATAGATAACGATGACCTTGTGAGCATTCTCCATCATGCTCGACCATAATGATGTGCTGATACCAACAACGATGTCTCGTAGTTGTTTAGAAACAATACACGAATA